TGAAGAAAGCAAGAGGTCATTAAAAAGACAGGAAAGAAAAGACCAAGAAGGATGTCAGAAGAGACTGAAACTTGCTCTTGAACATCAAGCACCTAAAGCAAAAGGAAGAAATGATGAAGACAAAGTAAAGTATTATAATGACATGTGCAAAGACCTGGAGTTAGAAAACCAAAAGGGTTTTCACTCAGCACTTCTCAAGGTGAAAGAACTGAAGAGAAAATTCAAACCTTAAGTTGAAATAATGAAGGATTTTACAGGGAAAATGTTAAAAGATGCAGGAAGCATCAAAAGAAGATGGAAGCAATACACAGAGTCACTACACCAAAAAAAATTGGTCGACATTCATCCATGTCAGAAGGTGCATATGATCAGGAACCAATGGTACTAAAGGAAGAGGTCCAAGCTGCACCAATTGTGATGTTTCAACAAATGGATACGGCAGTAGAAGTGCTCACTTATCTATGCCAAGAAATTTGGAAGACAGTCTACCTAGCCAATTGACTGGAAGAGATTCATATTTATGCCTATTCCAAAGAAAGGTGATCTAACTGAATATGAAAATTATTGAACAATATCATTAATATTACATGCAAGTAAAATTTTGCTGAAGGTAATTAAAAAACGATTGCAGCAGTACATCGACAGGGAACTGCCAGAAATTCAAGCCAGATTCAGAAAAGGGCATGGAAAGAGGGATATCATTGCTGATGTCAGATGGATCCTCGCTGAAAGCTGAGACTACCAGAAAGATGTTGACCTGTGTTTTACTGACTATGCAAAGGAATTCGACTGTGTGGATCATAATAAATTACGGATAACACTGCAAAGAATGGGAATTCCAGAATACTTAATTGTGCTCATGAGGAACCTGTACATGGATTAAGAGGTAGTCAGTCGAACACAACAAGAGGATACTGCATGGTTAAAAGTCAGGAAAGGTGTGCATCAGGGTTGTATCCTTTCACCATACCTATTCAATCTGTATGCTGAGCAAACAATCCGAGAAGCTGGACTATATGAAGCATGTGGGATCAGGACTGGTGAAGACTCATTAACAACCTGCAATATGCAGATGACACAACCTTGCTTGCTGGAAGTGAAGAGGACTTGAAACACTTACTTATGAAGATCAAAGACCACAGCCTTCAGTGTGGGTTACACTTCAATATAAAGAAAATAAAATTCTCACAACTGGACCAATAAGCAACATCATGATAAACAAAGAAAACACTGAAGTTGTCAAGGATTTCATTTTACTTGGATCCACAATCAACACCCATTACGGTGTTGGTGAAGAATATTGAATATACTATGGATTCCCAAAAGAACGAACAAATCTATCTTGGAAGAAGTACAGCCAGAATGCTACTGAGAAGCAAGTATGGTGAGACTTCCTTTCACATACTTTGGACATGTTATCAGCAGGGATCAGTCCCTGGAGAAGGACATCATGCTTTGTAAAGTAGAGGGTCAGGGTGGGGGGTGCGGAGAGGAAGTCCCTCAAGGAGATGGATTAACACAGTGGCTGCAACAATGGGATCAAGTGTTTAACAAGGATTGTGAGAATGGTGAAGGACTGGACAGTGTCTTGTTCTGTTGTACACAGGGTTGCTATGAGTTGGAATGGACTGGATGGTACCTGACAACAACATGCCTGAGGTTATCATCCCAGTTGGGAATGGGTCGTCTTTATTATGTTAATGAGGCAGGATTAATGTAGGGTGTGTCTTGAGTCAGTGTCTTTTGAGACATAAAAGAGATCAAACAAGCAAGCAAGAGAAGTTGAGATGGGGTAAGATAGATGCCAAGACACATGGAGATCTCCAAGGAGCCAGGAAGCAGAAGCTGAAGAGACAAGGACCTTCCTCTGGAGCCGACAGAGACAGAAAGCCTTCCTTTTGAGCTGGCACCCTGAATTCAGGTTTCTAGCCTCCTAAACCATGAGAATATAAATTTGTTTGTTAAAGCCACCCTCTTGTGGTATTTCTTTTATAGCAGCACTAGATAACTAAGACAGTAAGAATAATCCCAACCATCCTGAAAGTAAATATCTCACTCATAAGATTAACATTACTGAAGTCTCTCTTCAAAAGAAAATAATTCTTTAAGGGCATAGAATATTACATCATGTAACTTAGATTAAAACACAGTGTAAATATGCTTTATATTAGGCATGATTTATATTTGGCCTGGTTACTGGGTATTGCTTCCCTCGCAATGTGAATTTTCCCCTCCTGGTAACATGTAAAATCCTTCTAAAATGTGAGGAAAACGCAAATGATCTTCAGCACCAACTAATTTAACCATGTCTAAATCTGTATCTTTCATTTGCTTTTAAGTCAATAAAAGTCAAAATGTGATATGTAGAAATATCAAGGGTCTCAAATATTGAACAGGAAGTAAGGCTCACATTGTTGTTAGCTGCTGTTGAGTTGGCCCTTGACCCCATGCATAAGGGAATGAAACATTGCCCGGTCCTGCGCTATCCCCATGATCAGTTGTGGACTGGACTGTTGTGATGCATAGGGTTATCACTGGCTGGTTTTTTGAAGTAGATTGCCAAGTCTTTCTTCCTAGTCCATCTTAGTCTGGAAGCTCTGCTTAAACCTGTTCAGCATCATAGCAATGAACAAGGTGGTGGCTGTGCATGAGTTCCACCGGCCAGGAGTTGAACCCGGTTCTCCTGCATGGAAGGCAAGAATTCTACCACTGAACCACCACTGCCCACTAAGGCTCACATTTACAAAGTCCTGTCCCTGGGTGGTACAAACGATTAAGTGCTGGACTACTAACTGAAAGGTTGGCGCTTCAAACACACTCAGACTCACCTCAGAAATAAGGCCTGGGTGAACTGCTTCCAGTTGAAAATCCTATAGAGTGCAGTTCTACTCTGCACAGATGGGGGTCACCATGACTTGGAATCAACTTTACGTCAACTAACAACAACAAAAACAACAATGAAGTGGTAACTCACGAAAGTAGGTTAGCCCTTTTATAGTATTTTGACTAATTATTTTATTAATGTATGCTTGACAATGGAAAAATGGATTGGCATTATGTTGTCAGTCATTATTTTATTTTTTTATTTAAAATATATAACAATGACTTTCAAATATTTACACAGTATGGCATCATGTTTAGAAAAGCAACACTAGCAACAGGTTCCACCTATCTGTGAGTAATAACTTGCTTTAACTTGAATCATTGCTGCTTCTTAAGAGCAATAACAGCATAACATCTGGGAGATGTCACAGGATCAAACAACTTCACAAGTGCAGACCATGCAATATCTTCCTGCAAAATGATAAGTGATTTAGATATACAATAATTTGTTGAAGGAGAGATGAAAGAGTCAGACTATATATTACAATATAAAACTATGGAAATGACAAACTACGTAAAAGAAAACCATTCTTTCTTGAATAAAACTAACACTGACAACAAAAACTATGCAGTACGATTTAGTGACCCAAATATTTCTTACATCATTTAACCTGATAGTTCCCTTCATCAAACAACTCAGGGAAAGGTTTCTTTCATGAATTATCAGCTGGTGGAACAGACATTCTCAAATACTGCTAGAGGATGTATAAACCAGTACAACAATCATGGAAATATATATCAAGAATATCAATAAAGGGCATATCCTTTGTTGAAGCAATTTACCTTCAGGAATTTATGCTGAGGAAATAATTAAAGATGTACAGAGAGAGTGAGCTACAGGGTGACTAGCTTCCTGTGACAGTGAAAAACAGCAGTGACCATTAACAATTAGGAATTAGTTAAATAAATGATTATATTATGAAACTCTGCAGCTTCTGAATACATTTAATGAATTTAATGGTGATTTTCCTTTATCAAGTCTTTCAACAAAGGCATTCAACTTACAGAAACAGATGCTGCTTTTGTACTCATATTTCATTGGTTATATAACATAATCATTCATTTAAATGAATTGGAAAAATCCTAAAAATATATCAAATTAAACAAATTAGATATTAAACTGTATTTATAACTTGATTTCAATTTTAATTAAAATATAAATAATGTGTACATATATACACACAAAATACACATATATCAGAAGTGCTAAGAAATATACCAAAAACTTAATAGTAGTTAATGCTGAACAGTGAGATTATGATTACTTTTAATTTTTTCTTTTATATTCGTATGTTCTCTTTAAATCTTCTACCACAAATATGTATTTAAACCCATTGCCATCAAGTCAATTATGACTCAGAGTGACCCTATAGAGTAGAGCTGCCCCATAGCATTTCCAAGGAGCAGCTGATGGATTCGAACTCCTGATACCCTTTGGTTAGCAGCTGAGCTCTTAACCACTTTGCCACCAGGGCTCCACAAATATGTATTAGTTTTATAATAATAAAATTAATCGAAATATTAACATATATACTATTACTATCACTTCATTACCAATCTACTAATCTTTGTGCACACCATTTTGCCTACCTATTGTACTTAGGTCAATGTAAACCATTTTGAAAAGGGAAATGAACATATAGTAAAAGAGGCCTCACTCTGTCTTACCAACGTGGGAACCAAAGATCTCCAGTTATGTGGAGTTAGTTGGCATCTGAGGAAAGTACATCTTAATTTAAATATTTTTAAATTGCCTTTCTTCATAAAAATACAAATTAGAACAAAAGCAGATATTTATTATAGTCTATTTGTTCCAAGTAGCCTACAAAGAAGAAAGTAAACTCCCAAGATGGTAAAGTAGAATTGTTAAAATGAAGGGTATATAGTAGAAACATAAGGCAGTACCCTCAAATGGGCTTAATTTAAACTGATCACAAAATTTTATTTTGACCACAGCTCAAAGTAGAAGCTGCAAAAAATATCTTCCCTAAAGGTAACCAAAAAGGCAATGTTTTTGTTACTAAACATAGATAAAACAAGATTTATTGTGAAAAAAACAGAAGCAATCTTCATTAATCAGAAAGGAGCTTCTATACTGCAGACTATGTGTCCGAAATTCCAAAAGTGAATTAAAAGGCAAATTCTTACAAAATGAAATGTATATATATCTTTTATGCCTGGCCTTCATTAATTTTAGTTATACTATCTCATATATGGTGCTTTGTGTTCACTGCCTACTGAATACTAATTAAATTAAAGGAACATAAACTTTAGTATAGCAACTTTGCTGAAAATATCTGTTGTGCACACATGTTTAAAATGAGATGGAATGAATATTTAGAATTTGAAAACAATAAGAAATATTATCTTACTAGTTTTATGTGGATGAAAACTTATCCTAGAGATAAAAACCAAAAACCACTGCCATCAAATCGATTCCAACTTACAGCGACCCTACAGGACAGAGTACAACTGCTCCATAGAGTTTCCAAGGAGCAGCTTGGTGGATTCGAATTGCTGACGTTTTGGTTATCAGCTGAGCTCTTAACCACTGTGCCACCAGGGCCCCATCTTAGAGATAAATGGACCCATATTACTGGATTTAATAAAGATATTTGTTATGCATTTAAAAATAACATTTTTTACCTGCTCTTTTAGGTAGCAAAGTCGATCCAGAAGAATCAACATCTCTATACAAGGAGCCAGAACAACTTTCATCTAAAAGAAAGAATAAACTAGAATGGCGATCACTTAAAAAAAAAGGACTAGCTTATTTCCTTAATACTTACATTTACGAAAATTATATCCAGGAAAGTTTATTTTAGGCCAAATCTCCAATACCCATTGTAAATCTTTAGAAAATGAATACTGCAGAGATTAAAAGCTTTTTTTAATAGTAACAGGAAAACAATGTCCTTTTAATGACTTTGCGATATAACCCAACAAGCAATCATACATATGAGAGAGCGCTTTATTTAAAAAGGCACTAAGAATGAAATTTATTAAAAGGAATGCTTGTGAAATAACTGCATCAAGAACAATATGTGTTCAAAGAACTCCGAAACTTCTTTCTGTGGACTTACAGTACACTTTAAGAGAAATATACCATGTGCTCTCTTTATTACATTACTAACACCTAATATAGTTTTGAAATAGGAAATACTCCAAAACAGGTTGTCTATAGTAAGGGAATAACAACATAGATTGGCTAGCCCCACAATAAATTTAATAGGGCCCTACTCAGATCTAGGGATATATCCAATTTAATATGTTTAATTCTGAGATTTACCATATTAAAAGCTTCCAGTTCATTCATTCTAGGCTTATACTTCTTGTAGTAGTCCATTATGATTTTTTCTGGCAGCTTCAAGATAAAAAACAACAACCATAAATTTAACAAGAGTTAAAAATATATTTTTTTTCATAATCAAAAGAAATTCCTAAAGTAAAATAAACATAACAATAATTTAAAACAACCTTAATTTTCTGAAGAGGCCAAAGGATATTCATGAAGCAAGACAAAGTTTACTCTTTCACTTACATTTTCTGCACTGAGATAGGTTACTCAGCATATCATAAATAACATCCTCAGTAACATTCTAAATAGTGTTTAATTTTAAAAAGGAGTTATGAAATATTTACTTTCACTTGTTACAATGCTTGGGGCACATAGTGGAGCTTGATAAATATTTTCTGAATAAAATTAAAATTAAAAATGGTATATCTAAAACTATATATCCTGGAGAATAATTCAAAGGCAACATCAACACAATAATGCCATACACTCATACTTAAGGTAATTTCTTCCAACATTCAGTTAACAAACGTACCAAAGAGTATTTTCTATTTTTTCTTATGATGCCATAGTATGCTGAACCCTATGCTTAGCAGGCCACTTTCTAGCATTTACATATTTCTGCTCTTGCCAACTGAGCTTTATGCTTACTAAGTCAATTGTATTTATTTCTAAACTTATGCTAGTTACATTATTTTAATGATATAATATAAATAGTATATAACCAATGAAATATGCGTGAAACTCAAGAACCCTGAGTTGGAGCCTCATTTTTGTGTAGACTGAGCATTGTCTTAGGTAATGTCTCCTGGATATGTGAATTTTCTAAACTTTTGACAGGTTTGCCTTTATTTCTGGGAGATAAGCCTCATCACTATGTTTCCCAGTTACTATGATCTCAGAAGAATTTACTTATCACAAGAATAAGCTATTCTTAGACTTCATTTAGTCGTAGTGGCCATTTTCTCCTTGATGCCTGTCATGGATCGAATTGTGTCCCCCAAAAAATGTGTATAGCAACTTGGCTAGGTCATGATTCCCAGAATTGTATGATTGTGTAATCTGATATGATTTCCTTATGTGTTGTAAACTCTATCACTATGATGCGGTTATATGTGATCTCCTCACGTGTTGTAAATTCTGTCACTATGATGAAGTTATGCTAATGAGGTTTACAAGATTAGATAGTGTCTTAATCCAATCTCTTCTGAGATATAAAAGAGAGAAGTGAGCAGAGACACATGGGAACCTCAAACCACCAAGAAAGCAGTGCTGGGAGTACAGAGCATCCTTTGGACCTGAGGTTCCTGCGCTGAGATGCTCCCAGACCAAGGGAAGACTGATGCATCACAAAGACCTTCCTCCAGAGCCGACAGAGACAGAAAGCCTTCTCCTGGAGCTGATGCCCTGAATTTGGACTTCTAGACTGGACAGTAAGGGAATTAACTTCTCTTTGTTAAAGCCATCCACTTGTGGTATTTCTGTTGGAGGAGCACAAGATGACTAAGACAATGCCATTCATTGTTTCCAGATATTACTGGCTCCCTGCTTTTCTAGCTTCTGAACTGTAAACAATGCCTTTGCAATAAGGAATAATGCATTGCAGTGGTACTTATCAAGAAACTCGAACTCCTATAAGTTATTCTTACCCTGCATTCAATCTTAGGGCCCAATGATTGCTTCCACATGTAGCAGGTGAAATGCACTGCTGTGAGCTGTTCTGCAATATTAAAAGGCAGCTGTTTCTGCTTCTTAGCTGTCAGTAATGCTTTTGTTATAATGAAGAATACATAGTAGTGGCAATTTTCCTGAGATTCAAATTCCTTTAGTTTTATTTATTTGGCCTGTTAAGTCCTGCTTTTGCAGTAATGAAGAATGCACTGTAGTGGTAATTTTCCTGAGATAAAAAAATCCCTTGGCTTTATTTATTTGGGCTGTAAGTATGCTTTTGCAGTAAGGACGAATGCCTTGTACCATGTTTTGAAAAGTTTCATGAAAAGGAATAAAAAGGCTAAGAAGGAGACAAGAATAAAATGTACGTGTAGTCATTGCCAGATGCCTTTATGTTTTACCTCAAGTTTTGCAAATTTTCAAGAAATCAAAAGAAAACAAAAACCTGGTTTTATCTATGACGTGTATCACCAGTATTTACCATGTCCAGGGACCACTGGGACGTATGAGATCCCACATAACAGGTATCAAAATCTATAATTCATAACAAAAAATTCTGAATTGGTGATTTAATCAGCATGCCTTCCATTAGTGAAAACACAAAGTTATCAACAAAAATTCAAAGGAGAAAATAATTGGGTCTTGAAAGGGTTTAAAGCCAATAAAAGCCTAGGTAGGGCCAACATCCTGGAGATAGAGAAGACATCAGAACTGGGCCACGAGCCAGTCCAGATCATACTTAGGCAAGGAGATAAATGAAAACTTAATATTGAAGGTACACACTGAATGACAGCTCAAAATATAGGTCATGAATTCTATTGCTCTTTGCTGCCTATTCCATAGATTCCAGAAAAAGGAATTAGCATGAGTTAAGCTGTGTAGTAGGGCCTTATCTTAGTGGGCTGTGGCTTCAATTCAAAGAGATATTCAGTCCTAAAGAAAAACTGGGGTAAGTGACACTAAATGAGCAGACATCATGCTCAAGTTTTTCAGTTTTTTTTTCCTTTCAATTTTCTTGTAATTTTTGACAGTTATTTTAACTCTAATATAGCTGATGTGTACATGACTTAGTATTCAACATTTTTCATATTCTTGATAAATTTTACCCTATCTGAAAAAACTTCAACAATTAAAGTTCTGGATATAACTTCTTCTTCTTTAATTCTTCAATAAGATTCATCATTCCTTGGATTTCTTCTCCCTTTATTTTAAACTTCAATTCTTCAATCTGCTTTAGAAGTACATTCATTTTGTCTCTTAGCAAGCATGAATTTTCTCTTTATTCTTCCGCATAGGTTTATTGTTTGCCTGATGACTGCTAGTTTTCAAAGAGTGCCAAACAAGCATTTGTCTTGTGCTCAACTTCTGTTAATAAATGATGTAAATGTGCAAGAAAGAAGGAAGAGTTCTAGAGTTAGACAACCTGGGTTTGAATCCTTGCTCCTGGATGTGAATACTTGTTCCTCAATTTCCTAGATTTTGGCTTTAAGAAATCCACTTAACCTATGCCTGTTTCCTCATCTATAAAATGAAGACAACAGTACTTATTCCATAAGATCATCCTGAGTACTCAGTATAATGTAAATGAAGCTTTTAGCACAGTACCTTGCATGAAGCAAATGTTCAGTAAACATTAGCTTTCCTCAGAATGCTTTAAAAAAAAAAACTTAATTTTTCAGAACAGTTTGATTTACAGAAATTGTGAAGATAGTACAGAAACTTCCCATATAATCTGAACCCAGGTTCCCCATTATTAACATATCACATTAGTATGGTACATTTGTTACAATTAATGAACCAGTAATACATTATTATAACTAAAGTCCATACTTTACTCGTATTTCCTTAGTGTTTTCCTCATGTCCTTTTTCTTTTCCAGGATCCCATCCAGGATACCATATTACATTTAGTTGTCAGGTCTCATTAGGCCCCCCTTCGCCCTGACAGTCATACTTACCTTGTTTTATTAAAGATAAACTTTGTTTCATCAAAACCTGACAGTTTTAGAGAGTACTGGTCAAATATTTTGTAGAATGTCCTTCCATTGGGATTTGTCTGACATTTTTCTTATGGTTAGATTGGGGTTATGCATTTTGGTGAGGAAGAACACAGAGGTTAAGTGAAGTTCTCAACATATCGTATCAAGGGTATATACTATACATGACTTATCACTGTTATGTTGACTTTGGTCACCTGGCTGAGATAGTGTTTTCAGAATTTTTCACTGTAAAGTTATGAAAGGGTGAAAAAAGAGTAACTGTCTTAAGTCCCAAAATGCATTCAAACCTTAAGCCCCATCTTAATGTGTTCCTACCCAATAACTGCTTGAGGAAAAGGTCACGGCAACAACTTATGCACAGGTCACCATGCAGGTGCACATTTCCCTTCCTCTACTCTTCTCACCTTATTGGATTTAGGGTATTTGTGGCTTATGACAGGGCTGCTGCTAGCCTATGTGGTGCCTTTATGATAATTAGAAAAAGACCCAGTTCCTTCAGGTGAATGCAATCCCTGGCCACAGCAGTTGGCTTAAACGGAGAATGAGCTGGAACTTTAGCTCTCACTTGTCCCCTTAGTTAGATGCCCATGTGCAAAGCACAAATTACACAACCCTGTGTGGTGGCCCAAATGATGAAGTGGCATGGAACAAAGTCTATCCAAATAGGTATGACTGATCAAATGAGTCAATTAGATTTTTTTTTTTTTTTGGTAGAGAGGAATTGAAGATGATGTAGAAACAAAGTTAGTTTCTTGGAGGTGGGAAGCATAGCGTATACAACCAACCTATGAATAAGCAAAAGTAATGAGGAGGGAAAAATATTTAGAATAAAGAGTGAAATAATCAATTGGTAGTTTAGTTGCTAATCACTATAACAGTGAAAGATTAAAGAATGTATACTGCTCAGAAAGTAACAATAACTCAGTCACTATGGCTGTTTTGGATCCTACTTCCAGTTACCAAACTACCTTCTAATGAGACTAGGCTGTACATCTCTTCCTGGGATCTTGTAAACCTGAGAGTTTCCAGTTTTTCTAACTATATGTATCCCTGAAATAAGCCCCACCAATTAATAGAAAACAGGAATAAATCTTTATTTTTTGCAATCAAAATAGATCAAGTAACACATTCTTTCCTTTTAAAACTTTGATAAAAACAGACTATTTAATCAAAGTTTTGATAATGCATTCCTACAAGGATCTACTAGTCCAGCAGAAGTGTGTAAAAAGCAGAGTGTGGTTCTTTAATGACGTAATTTGTTGTAGAAATGGGGTTTGGAGATATAGAATTATGAATGGGTCATATTTTATTAAGAGTAGGGAGATCATATGTCATCTAAACTGGGTCACTTTTGAGAGTGAAATGGGAGTGTTGTTAATAATTATGGCAGTACAACAAG